GATTAACCAGATTTACACTGAACCCTATGGGAAACTTTACCTCGACTTGAGACCAACTCGAATTGCAACCAGAGTCACAGAACGGATTAAGTTCGTATCCCGAGGTACCACTGTAATTTGACTCAGTCATATGATTAACCCAAAATTACAGTTTTATGATGAATCTTGGAATTAGTGTCCCTAAATCAGAAAATGTCACTAAAGGGCCTCAGCAATTGAGAGAGAGAATAGTACAGTGGAAAACTCCAGTTACTTTTATCTTTTTTAACCCCTCCACTGCAAATCACTCTTAAGTCAAGTTAATAGAGATACTGCAGGGAAGTTAGACAGGGTGGACAGGGCAGACTTGTCTAGCAATGGAGACTTTCCTCCAAGAAGCTCAGGAGAGATGCGTACACTGGTGTGCTGATCACACACAGTCTTCTGACCATTAACAAACTAAAACATCCTAATCCCTTGGGTAATTTTGCTTTTCTCAGAAAAGACAAAAACAGGTTGATTGCTTCTTTCCTACTTTTCTTTTGCAATATCTAGATCCAGCCGGTGGCTCTGCAAAGCTGCCATCATGTTCCCCATCTCAATATGAGCATTTCCAATGCAACTGTAAAGATTTCCAACCAGCTCACTCCTGTTGGGGATCTCATCATCAGACCAGCCCTGGATTTTTTTCAGTACATGCTCAGCTTTCTGGCAACTTCTTTCAGGGCAGCCACTGGTCAGCACTTAGGAGGGAAAAAAACTGCATGAGCAAATGAGATATGCTAATCAAGCATACATACACTGAAACAATGCACAGAAACGTATTGAACACGAACTATCAAATTTGTTCTCAGCAGATTTGGGGATAATACCTAATTTAGGTGGTGTTGAAAAGAATCTGGATAAGTTCAAGAAAGATAGGACAATTAATGGCCATTAGAGTTGATGACTATATAACTTCCTGGATCACAGGCAATATAGCTCAATTCCAGCAAGAAAAATCTTAGATATCTCCATGCATGGTTGTAGATTATATATGGACGATTATAATGAAATATAGTAATCTTTTATTGCATCTGTATTGTACTGTATTGCTGCTTTACTCTTTTTTTCCCCCTATTTTCTTTTTCTGTTTAATTAATAAAAGCCCTCCAAAACCCCTCCATGCATGAGAACTTCATGAACAAACCTGGTTGGGTAATGAGTGACACAGAATGCTAGACTAGATGAGCCAGCTGGGTTTCTCTTATATTCTTAAATCTGCCTGGAGGTCAAATTTTTTGATACATTTCACATACATCTGAAAAAATAATTCTCTCACAAAACAATGCCAAAAGGGTCAACAGAAATTCAGGTAATATCTAAAATGGATGTTGGAGTCTGCTACTATTAGCAGAAATACTATTTTTTTTGGCTAAAGTTAATTATCAGAGCTCTCCTTTCAAACAATAAAAATGATTTGACTAAATAAATCTAAGAGAAAAATATGGTGTGCTACCACTAGGTGGAGATCAGTCTGAGGCTATAGGATTTAGTTTTATTTATTTATTTATATATCACATTTACCGGTATATAGCCACCCATCTCACACAAAGTGACTCTGGCTGGCGTACAACAGTTAAATAAAATAACAAATAGATAAAAACAATCATTATAAAAGATTAAAACGTGATTATTAAAATACAACATCATCAAAAAGTTTAAACATTTTAAATTTTAAAATATACAAACCCCACAGAGAGAATATTAATCATAGTGGAGCCATCTAAGAATGTCTCTGGTTCCCAAAGACCCCCAGGCCTGATGACATAACCATGTCTTGGGGGACTTCCTAAACGACAGCAGGGAAGGGGCAAGCCTCACTTCAGGGGGGAAAATGTTCCACAAGGAGGGAGCCACTAATATTTTAGTAGTTCTCAGAAGAACAAGAGGTATCACTCAAATAACCTACTAATAAGTGCTGAGGACTTTGTCTTTTTTAGTAAGAAATAATGACTCTATATACCAAAATATTCCATTCTATATGTTAAGAGGTTACATATATTTTACATACAGTATATTACTTCAAAGAATTGACAAAATAAAGAAGAAATTGGAGGGTTGAGACAGCACATAAGCAACCCCATTAATAAACTCTAACTGGTCCCCATTTTCACCTGAGCCACCTACGCATATCAATGTCCTCCATGCTCTTTAGTATGTATCTTGCCACCTCAGAGGGCTTCCTCTTTTGATCTCGGGCCCATCTTTTCAACATAAGCTTGCGATCTCTGATTCGGGCATAAATAGGTTTCTGCTGCTGCCAGAAATCTGTGCGAGTGTCCAGGTAGGAAAGACCTTCCTGGAGTAGGTCTCCAACAGTTACTCCCTGCTTGGTAACACTTTTGATCAACTCTGCAAGAAAGCCAGAGGCAAAAATAGACAGGGTGAGTTATTATCAGTATATAATTGGGGATTGTGTATGTGTATGTGTATGTGTATGTGTATGTATGTGTATCTATCTATCTATCTATCTATCTATCTATCTATCTATCTATCTATCTATCTATCTATCTAT